CTTTCCAGAATACCCCAATTTTCTAGCATCAACCGCCTCTCTCCGATATCAAAATGATCAGTCCAACAGCCAGGTCTTTTCCACTCTGTTTCTCAACACTCATGCCCAGTTCAATTCCCCTCCTCTGCCTGAAGGGAAAAAGGTATTTGAACAGGGATCTCCTATCTCTGAGGGAAATGCCCAAACCACTGGGCTATGGGATATTCTGATTAGGGATGTAAATATTGTTTAAAAACTTAACCGTTTAAACGATTAAAATTATATCATTTAAATCGGTTAACTGATTAAAGGGAGTGTGGCTGGGCTGGGGCCTCTCACGCTGGCCTTGGGGCTGCAGCTGGGGTAACGGTTAGGGTGGGTTAACTGGTAAGACTAATGCTTACCAGTTAACAGTTTAATATTGTACACCCCTAATTCTGATGTGGGGCTTCCTCAATCTCTCATGTTGAAGCTGTTCCACTTGTTCTTGGGTAAGCATTTTAACCACTAGGCTAAAAGTTATGAGGGAGGAGGCTCCTCCTCCTCCTCCATCAGGATTTTGAATGTAGCCCGAATCTGCTAGGTGTACTCAGAACATGCCTACTGGCCTGGGCTCTGCAGGCAAAGTAGGAGGATCACCCAACTTCCCCTGGTCTGAGCATCATGCTGGTGCTCAAGTGTCCAGATGCTTACAGTGAGGTGGCAGGGTGCATGCCCAGAGGCCAACACTTACGTGACTAGGAGATGATTACAGTGAAAATTTAGGTGCCAAATGAATTAGGTGCCTGCAGAGTTAAGCAGCAGCTTACTGGGGGTTTTGTGGATTGCAATGGTGCCTAAAACTGAAACTTAGGCTCCTTTGTATATACCCCAAACGACCAATGTCTGCTACTGCTTTCTATTCCATATGACCACTCTAATCCTATACTACAGGGGTGGCCAAACTTACTTTGACCCTCTGAGCCACATTTGACAATCTTCAGAAGTTTGAGAGCCGGGACACACTTGCTGGGGCTCTGGGCTTCAGCCCCACGGGAGGCGCCTTACGGGGCTTCAACCCCACTCCTGCTGAAGCCCTAAACCCCAGCAGGCATGCCCCACAGGGCTGAAGCCCTGAGACCCCCCTCCCCACTGGGAAGAAGGCCCTACCCCACTACCCCACTGCAAGACAGAGGTCTCGAGCTTCCCCCACCCCAGTCTGGTAGGTGGAGAACAGGGAGAGGGGGATCTGCGAGCTGCACTTTAACTGTAAAAGAGCCGCATGCAGTTCACGAGCCATGGTTTGGACACCCCTGCTATACTAGATGTGAACGCAAACTGAGACTTTTCCTACATGCAATACATTTATAGGGTTTCTTTCCTGTGTGGATTCTTAAATGCACTTTAAGTGCTGAGCTCTGTCTGAAGTTTTTTCCACATTCACTACATTTATAGGGTCTTGCTCCTGTGTGGATTCGCGAATGCACATCAAGAGCTGAACTCTGTCTGAAGGTTCTCCCACATTCATCACATGTATATGGTCTCTCTCCTCTGTGGATTCTCAGATGGACATTAAGTGCTGTGCTCCGTCTAAAGCTTTCTCCACATTCAGCACACTTGTAAGGTTTTCCGTGTGTGTGGACACTCCGATGTGAAATAAGTGCAGCGCGCTCACTCCGGGTTTTCCCACATTCAGAACATCGATAGGGATTTTCTCCTGTATGGATTCGGTGATGAGTCGCAAGTGCCGAGCTCTGACTGAAGCTTTTATCACACACTGAACATTTGTAGGGCTTTTCTCCTGTGTGGGTTCTTCTGTGGGTAATAAGTGATGAGCTCTGTCGGAAGCTCTTTCCACAATCACCACATTTGTAGGGTTTCTCTCCCGTGTGGATTCGCTGGTGTCGGATGATGGCGGAGCTGTCACGGAACCTTTTCCCACATTCTTTACATTGATGGGGTTTCTCCCCTGTGTGGATTCTCCTGTGTATAATAAGCGATGAGCAATCACTGAAGCTTTTCTCACATCTAGTACAACGGTAGGGCTTCTCGCCCTTGTGGCTTCTTTGGTGTACGATGAGGTGCGAATTCTGACTGAAGCTCTTCCCGCATTCTTTACATTTGTAGTGTTTTTCACCCGTGTGGGTTCTCTGGTGTCTGATAACATTTGACCGCTGACTGAAGGTTTTCTCACACTCGTTGCATTGATAAGGCTTCTCTCCTGTGTGGATTCGCTGGTGTTTAACCAGGTCTGAATTCCGAGTGAAGCTTTTCAAACATTCACCACAACCAAAGGGTTTCTCTGCCACATGGATTCTCTGATGCTGAGTAAGGTAGGAGTTTCGACTGAAGCTTTTCCCACATTCAGAACACTGATAGGGTTTTTCTTCCATGTGCGCTGTCTCTTGCTCAGCGAGGCCTGGGCTCAAAACAGAGTCATTCTCACAATCAGATGTGTTTGGTTTATCTTCAGTATGATCATCATCTTCAGGTTGCCTGACACTTGCTTCCTGGGAAGGGGATTTTCTCATTTCATTTTCTGACTTCTCCTGACTCTCACAAGCCTCTGTTTGGTCAGGACTCTTGGAAATATTCCCTTTAAATCTTCTCGACAATGCATTACGTGTTTTCATTTTCCCGGGACCTTCCTGAAGACGAATGCCCTTCTTAATTTTACTCACGACTCTGTCACTTGCTGGAATAAAAAGAGAAATGAGACATGAATAATTCCCTGTGCTTGTGAGAGGGAGGAAGCCTAAAAAACAAAACAAAAAAACCACATACCACAAGGATTTCCCACAAATAAACCATGCTTCCTAACAGTTTAATCCCAGAGCCCAAGTTCACCAATATGTGTGCAGGAACTGGAATGAGGAACACAAAGGGAATGAGGTGAAACTGGCAAGAGAATGGGTATGCAGCCTCTATTTTGAAGGGTATTCTGTTGAAACACTTGCTCAGCAACACATGCTTTAGGTTCCTCCACCCTACAAAGTGGGCAGGTAGGAGCACAGCCCAAAGCGCAACAGCCCATACCCCAAGCTGAGCACAGGTACAAGACACTCAGGAGGGCATGTTTAAGGGTTTTGTGCGTGGATTTGGGCAACAACGTGGATCACATGTCCCTAGCCTACAGTATAGATGTACTCAAGGGGACAAAGTCCATTACTTGCCTTTCCTCAAAAATCCTGCTCTTGGCCGATTTTGCAAGGGGGCAGGGGAGGAACGTGGTAACCTAGGTTCCCCTTCAGACATTCCCATTGTAACCACTCCTCTCCCCACTAGTTTCATTCCCTGTAAGTCATCAAGTGTTCCTCCTCCTTCAGTCCTCTTCTGCTTATCTGGTAGAGAACCAAGGAGTTCTAATGGGCTTTTTTCCCTGGATAGACTGTCCCCCATCCCTCACTTCAGGGGCTAGACCTTCTTTCCAAATTAAAATAATCAAAGCCCCATGCATTCTGTAACAAGCTGGACCTAAATTTTGTCTACAACATTGACACAGCAGATTGGAAATCCTGTAGCAACTTCATGTAAAAAGCCACCAGTTATTTTAAGAATTAAATTTGAAAATGAATAATACAATGAGTACAGTAGCCCCTTTATTATTTACATTGATATGTTCCTCACCTGGGAAGAAACTTTGGAATGTGGAATAAACACATTAACTGGTTGTTTCTGCTTAAACAAATAGCAATGGAATAGTTAACATTTTTCACATTTAGTTTGCCACTCAAATTGTCAGTGTTAACAATTTGAGATGAGGGCAGCAGTTAAACCCCTTGGCTATTGTTTCATGCTTCTGCAGACTTAGGAAGACAATGCTGAATTGACTATACTAATTTTCAAGGTTTTCTTTATGACCATCAGAGATAGAAACATTTAAAATGAAAGTTGAGATTCTGATGCACAGTTCTGAAACAAGGAATGGATCCCAAGGCTGCAGAATAAAAACATAAGAAAAAGAAAATACAGGTGGAGTGAAAAACACCACCCAATTTGGTTATTTCCTCTTTCCAACATTCTGAGTATTAACATTACAAAAATGCACGGAATGTAATTTAATTTTATAGACTGATTCTTTCTGAATGGGAGGAAGAACCCCAAAATTGTGCATTGGGATGGAATCCACAAAGGTACTTAAGTCCCATTTTCAGATGCCACTGCAATCCGCAAAACTCTCACTTGGCTGCTGTCTAACCCTATAGGCACCTAAACTTGCTCAGCTTAGGTTGCAAGCTTCAGTTGCACTTGCTAGGCACGTATGAGAGCACCTGCACTGTTGTCCTACACTAGGCATCCGGATGGCCATCTTCCACCCGAGTCCCAGAACAATCCATTATCTGGGGAAAATAAGCATTCATCTGCCTAAATCATCTGTGAAAGCCTAATCCAGTAAGTATGCTCAGAGGCCGCTTAACACCACACAAAGCATCTGCATGCCCCCTCCCCATTATAACTTTTAGCCCAGTGATCAGCGCACTCACCCATGATGTGGGAAACCATCAGTTCAAGTCCTCCCTCTGCCTGATGAGAAGGGATTTGAACAGGCATCTGTCAGATGAGTGCCCTAACCACTGTTTCAGGATTTTAGGATAGTCTAATGAGTGTCTCCTTCAATCTCGTCTACTGAAGTTGTTGCACTTTAATTAAATAACTGAATAATTAAATATGAATTGGGCCAGAGAAAAAGTTAGTGACTGTACAATAACTAAATAGTGCATGCGGGTGCTTATAAGAAATCATACAACAAGCCAGTATGGGCAACTCAGCACTCCTAGAGCCAAACAAGCCAGTGCACAGCCCCTGGATTCACAGAAGGCTCTACAATAACGTAGCACCAGCAGTCATAAAAGAGATGTAGAGCAGGGAGGAAATGAAGGCGAGAAAAGGCAGACAGGCAAAATGGTGCATTGGCAAAAGGGAGAGGAGATAGTTTGTGATGTCACCAAGTTTGTGATGTCATCGAGTTGCTATTGTGAACTGGTCTGCAGCAATAACCCCACTCAGAGAGTTCCCCGCCTTCTCCTCCTGACCCACCTCAGGTAAAAACAGCAACGGGAAAAAGGAATAAAGTGAAGGATAGGCAAGGAACCCAGAACTCCCTCCATGGTATCTAACACCTCCCACCCCACCCACATACAATACAAGAAAGATGATATGTCAGATATCAGCATGGAACTTCCTGATTGTTTCTGGTGAGTAGGAAAACTTCTCATCATCATCCATCCCTGACACTGACTTGTGATAGGGGACAGGAGAGTCGCCTGTTCCCCATCCTCGCTCACTGCAAATCAGGAGGCTTGGCACCTCAGAACTAGGAAGGAGGGGACGGGTTTACATATCAGTAACTGTCATTTAAATCTTGGCTGTACAGAGCACTGCCTCCTCGAGTCCCTTTCTTCCAAATGCTTTAACCTGCCCACTTGTTGACTTTGAACACACATCTTATAGCCACAACTAGAGAAACACCCGAAGCCTGGCTTTTTTCCCCCCAGTCTGCCACAATAACCAACACTGAAGGGACCAGGATCAGACAGAAAAACATTACCAGTTCTCCTATATAAAGGAATTGAACTCTGCGCAGTAGCCGGGAAGCAGACCAGAGAGCTGAAAAGGTTTAGCCACAGCAATTAGTCAGAACAGTATCCTACAACAGAAGAAAAAGAACTGCAAGTGGCTGAACTACAGATTACAGGCAGGGTCAGATGCTTCCCATTACAGGACCCTGCTTCCAGGTGCTGATAACTTTGCCAGGCTTTAATGGTTTCAGCTGAAATGTTCCATGCTGGGTGCCTGCCTCAGCCAGAACTTTTATTTATTTATTTATTTCCACCAAAGTGGTTCAGCTGTTTCTGAGAACAGGGCTAAGGGAACAATACATGTAACCTTTTCTTTGGAAAGCTCTAGTGCTCCTGTGCTTTGGAGCACAGTCTGGAAATTGGCTGGGTGCTAGCCTTTGTGTCAGGGATGTACCTTTGCCATCCCCGTGACAACATAGGCGCAGGAACTAGGGGGGTGGGGGCTGTGCACCCCCAGTGTCCCGGATGCCGGCCTCAGCTCGGGTGGGGGTGGACGGGGTTAGGGGGGTGGCTTTCTGCACCCCCACTATTAAAAATGTTCCAGCATGACTGTGATAACCCACTCAAATATGGCCAAGTTAGAAAACCCTGAAAAAATCTGTTCACACAGGCTTGGCAGAGACTTATTGGATTTCAGCAACTAAAATCTCCAAAGATTCTGTCTTCACAGAACACGCTCAAGCCTCTCATAGTTCGTAGTGCTAACCACATGCACCATCCCCTCCCAGCTCCTACACATGAGCTGGCTGCATATATGTTATCACCACCGGGGGACTGAGTATGCTCCCTCCAGTCCAGGTCAACAAGGGTGAAGCCAAACTTTCCTTGGAATGGCTGCTCCCAGCTAGGGTGCAGGCTAGGGTGAGGCAGAGCACTGGAACGGAGCATAAGGAGCCTGTCTCTCCTGTGTTATCAATGACACACACACACACCCCCCTGCAGGTGTCCAAGCCATGCAGAGGATGAAGCCGTCTGATTAGAATGCACAGTGGACAAAAGTCAGACCCCAGAAAAGGGAAAGGAGTAGTTTGGGACAAGCAGTCTAGTGAGACAGTCTGGAGGCAGGGAGAAGATAAACTGGGATTGCTCGAGCAAAGAGACCTGGACTGGGAGCAGTACAGGGAAACGGGGAGGACCAGGAGCTAGTTGGCTCGGAGGAGATGGGGAACACTGAATTCGGAGGAGCCGAGAAGAGCGGTAGATTGGCCTGCCTGCCTGGGACTAGGTGCAGGGCATGGAAGAGGCATAGGAGACACTAGGTGGGAAGACCAAGATTCGACAGCAAGCCCAGATGAGGAGACTAGGAGAACCTTAATAACATTCTTTAAAAGCAGTCTGTGTGTGTGCATAGCTCCAAGTTTTTTAATGTTATATACAGGTTCATTAAATGTTTGACTGCCTGAGAGAGCATGCACATAAATCCAACTGCCACTGATTTCTAGAAGGTTCTGGATCCATTTGCCAAGAATGGGGATTTATAGAACAAATTCTTGAAAGAAAACAATATCCCACAATTCCCTTCCCAGGGAAAAGGGGTGGGAGGTGGAGGAGAGAGTTAACAGCACAATTCAGGGCCCCAGTCCCAAAACAGGGAGTCACAACCATCATTCCCAAGAAAGGTGAGAAGAGGTCTCCCTCATAATTCAGGACCCCATTCACACGAAAAGGGGGCACTCGCACAGCTATGGACCCAATCCCCAGGGGATGGGGCTCCTCCCAAAGGGTTAGGCCAGGAGGTCATCCTTCAGTTCTGCACCATGTTTTCAAAAAATTGTCACTTCCACAATTCTGGACCCCATACCCAAGAGAAGGGTTATACCCACATCTACAGCCCTGCAATTCTTTCCCCAATGTCTATCGTCTGCAGCATTTCACTTCGTTCCTGCTCCTCTTTTGCAGTACTCTCAAGTTGGTGTTCTGCTGCCCACCTTCAGGATGAGGGCCCATTGCTAACTGGAACACCACTCTCAGAGCCAGAGTATGATCAGTTCTTCAAACCTCTTCGTGCCCCTTACCGAGCCAGTGCCACCTGCCTCATTCGTGCCTTGTATGGCTGCCAGAATCCTTTGATCCGGAGACTGGACCAATACGAAAACCATGGAGTCATCCCTCAAGGTAAGGCTGACCACGGCATCCAAAAGCAGGAGGACTGGGGTCTCAGACCATCCGGCACTGGGAATGATCAAATGACAGATGGGAAGGAGTCCTTAGGTGCGAGGGGTTTATAACAGGGACGTGGAGGAAGCCATCTGCTGATGGGGTTTATTCGTTCTCTCGCCTTCTCTTCCCAGGGGGATACGTGTGTGCAGTGGAGGGTTTTGTTTTGGTAGTGGTTTCGAGGGTTTTTATCCACAAGTTACTATGTGTTTATATTAGAGAAGGCAAGACACACTTCTTCAAACTTGCCTTCTCTAATATAACTAGAATACAGTTACTCTACGTTACTACAGAGAATTATTTCCCAGGTATCTGCCTGGCAGGTCTTGCCCACATGCTCAGGGTCTAACTGATCACCATATTTGGGGTCAGGAAGGAATTTTCCCCCAGGTCAGATTGCCAGAGAGTCTGGGTTTTTTTCACTTTCCTCTGCAGCATGATTGCAGGTTTATACTAGTGTAAATGGTGGATTCTCTGTAACCTGAAGTCATGATTTGAGGATTTCAGTAACTCAGCCAGAGGTTATGGCTCTATTACAGGAGTGGGTGGGTGAGGTTCTGTGGCCTGCAATGTGCAGGAGGTCAGACTAGATGATCATGATGGTCCCTTTTGACCTTAAAGTCTATGAGATAGCAACTGAAGAGAAACAGTCCCATTCAATTACATCACATGAAGGGACACAACTAAATATTGACAAATTTTAATAAATGCTTGTATACAAATGCTAGAAATCTAAATACTAAGATGGATGAACTTGAGTGCCTGGTATTAAAAGTGGCTATGGATATAATAGGCATCACAGAAACATGGAGGAACAATGATAATCAACGGGACATGGTAATACCAGGGTACAAAATGTACAGGAATGACGGAGTAGGTCATGCTGGTGGGAGAGAAGCACTATATAGGAAAGCAAGCATAGAGTCAAATATAGTAAAAATCTTCAATAAATGAAATGGTACATGGAATTTTTATCCAGAGAGATTCTATGTTTGAATAAGAAGAGTATAGCAGCAGGAATATATTACCTGACCAGGATGGTGACAGCAATTGCGAAATGCTCACGGAGAGTAGAGAGGTTACAAAAACCAGAAAACTCAATAATAATGGGAGCTCTCAGCTATCCCCATATTGGTACATGTCACCTGAGGACAGGATGCAGAGATAAAATTTCTAGACACCATTAATGACTGCTTCTTGGAGCAGCTAGTCTTGGAACCCACAAGGAGAAAGGCAATTCTTGATTTAGCCCCAAGTGGAGCACAAGATTTGGTCCAAGAGGTCAGTGTAGCCAAACCATTAAGTAATAGTGACCAAAATGTAACCAAATTAACATCCTTGTGGAAGGAAAAAATTCCAAAGAAACCCACCAGAAATAGCATTTAACTTCAAAACGGGGAATTACACAAAAATGAGGGAGTTAGTTAAATGGTAATTAAAAGAAACAGTCACAAGAGTGAAATTCCTGGAAGCTGCATGGAATCTATTTTAAAACACCATAGAAGATCAAACTAAATGTATATGCCAAATCACAAAAACAGTAAGAGGGCCAACATAGGGCCCTATGATCTGTTTTATTATTGTGGATTTTTGGATTTATTGTTTTCTGATTTTTTTCATTTTTTAAAAAATTAATTCCATCTTTATGTTTTTTAATCAAAGTTGTTTGATACATTGACAGCAATTAAGTAGCCTTACTATAAATGCATAAAAATGTTCCGAATTGGATTGCAATGGGAAAAAACTGATTTTACAGAAAAAAATCTTACAATTTAAACAACACATCCTGCAGATATACAGTATAGGATAAAAGTAACACATTTTAAATCACTTTTTAAAGTAGCACTCGGTAATATGATCAAACTGATATTGATGAACAGTAACACACTCCCGGACAGGAGATGCACACCTCTGCGTGGAAGGGACTCCTGTCTGGGAGCATGCGAGCCACTTGCACACACTAGCGTGACCAGGGACAACTGTAGGTAAGCCTGGTGGCCGCCCCAGTGGGTGGGGTTGAGGGTGGTACAGCCACAGCGGAGGAGCAGTTCACGCAGAGCACTGGCTCCTGCGAATGGCGGCCTGACATTCTGCTGCTTTCACCACAGTGATTCCCGGTAGAGCCTGCAAGTCCGCAGATATCCGCATATATAAATTTTGTATCCATGCAAGGCTCTACGAAAGATAAAAAAACTAAACAGGAAATTCTTTAAGCACATCAGAACCTGTGGAACTCATTGCCATGGGATGTTGAGAAGGCAAAAAAGTAAAGTGGAGTTAAAAAAATAATTTGATAAGTTCATCACAGATAGGTCCATCGATGGCTATTAAGATGGTCAGGGACGCAACCCCATGCTCTGGGTGTCCCTAAAGTTCTGAGTACCAGAGACTCAGACTGGATGAAAGATTATAGATCACTCAATAATTACCTTGGTCTGTTCGTTCCCTTTGAAGCAACTAGCCATTGTTGGAAAACAGGATACTGGGTTAGCTGGACCATTGGTCTGACCCAGTATGGCCATTCTTATGTTCTTACAATCCTGTCTTGTTTTTTTAAAATCACTGTGGGTCATGAAGATGACCAGCCAGTGCTGGGTTTTTAACCACTCGAACTTTGGGAGGTTACTCGATGGGACTGGGGTTTATCAATGCCAGATGGGGACCACCTGGCAATGGGGTTTATAACTGAGGGTTAGGGGAAGTGACTGTCCAACACCGGAGTTTTTCAATAAATTTGATTAATTATTTACCTCTCTCTAGGACCTGTATGCTCAGACCTGCCAGAAATTCCCTTCTTCGCAGACTTTTGTACATTTACCTTTTATCGCTGTACTATGAAAAAGTATTTTGTTAAGGTGAGTCTGAACTGTTTCCGGATGAAACTGTTACTGAGGAATGCACTGGGGAGCGCAGACACAGGAAATGGCTGGTAGCACTCAAAGAGAGTGGAAAATGGGGGGTGGGACGGATGAAGCGAGAAGGATGATAAAGAATTGTGGGAAGAACAGAACATGAGGAGAAAACTAAGAGAGGGAGCATGTAAGAGAAAGAAGGAGAGGAGAGTAGGAAGACAGACATATAGAAAAATATGGTGGGCAAGACACCAAAGGGAAAGGAGTCAGGGACAGATTTTTTTCTTTTTGCCTGTCCAGGTGCCTACTTTGGATGATGGGAATGGGAAATATATAATTGTGTAGCAAGCGGTGACCCCACACACCTGAGAGAAGAACAGGTGCAGAGTCCCTGTGCTTTTCTGCCTTCCTCCTATGTATCTCTGCTCTTCCACAGAGGGTTATATGCCCAGAAGAGATCCAAAGCAAGTCTGGTAGGACACGAACCTTCAGCGAAGACGTCACTGCCAGTGACAGACTTTTGCCCCCAACAAAGCCCTCTCCCCAGTCTTCCACCAGCACCAGGCCCCTACCTCCTTCTGGTACAGGAGCAGCTGCTGTCAAGGATATCCTCCTACCAACTTCACCCCAATCCAACTCCCACACAAGAATACTCTTAATCTTCTCTCAGAGCCCACCTAAACCACAGAGCATACCAGAAAACTCCCCTGTCAACCAGATCAGTGAAGAGGCTGAAAGTGGCCAGCATCAAGGAGAGCTGTCCAGCCCCCAGGAGTCCCATCTACCCACCAGCGACATGGAAGACCTCTTTCTGCGGCTACAGGACCCCAATGTGCAGCACTGGATGCAGGCCATGCAGGTGCTGCTGGCCAAGCTGAAGACAGCAGGAGAACAAGAGTTACAGGCTACTTCCCTAAAGCTGCTGATGGCACTGAACCATGCAGACATACAGCAGGAGGCTAAGCCAACAGCCCCAGAAACAGTTCAGGAGAGAGAAAAAGCAGCAGGGAGGGAGCGGCCATGAAGCCATGCTGGCTGGTTTATATAAAAGAAGAGTCCAATGTGCAAGCTTCAGTCTAACCTGACCTTTGAAAGGAAAGTATCTTACATGGGGGACTTCCCTGGAACCATCAGTGTAAGGGAGGTGATCGGGATACTAAATACGTGACATTCTTTTAAGGTTTCCTGTGTTTCCCATAGCCGAGGTGTGGGAATGAAGAGGGAATGCCTGACTGTTTTGGGTTTGAAGGAGGGTGAATCCCATCAGCTGAAATGGGATGACCAAGGATTCAACAGGAAGAAAGCTTCCCTTTGGAAACAACAGGTCTAAGTGAAGGTTTCCCTCTTTCATATGAATAATTTTGCTATTGTGTCATTCTTTAAGATGGAGGTCTCCATTCCCAGAAAAGGGGGGGGGGGAGAAACGGGGGTGGAGAAAGTGACTCATACTGCCTATTTGGGTTTGTATCCTGCCCCAAAAATAAAGACTGTTCTGCACAGATGAGAAGGGATTTGTGTGTGATTCAGTAAATACCTTAGGAGGAAGTCAGGCCTTTCATCTGCAAGTGTAGATGTTTCCATTCAGAGCCAAACACACATCAGATTTTCCCTTCTCAAAATGAGACGTTTCAGTTGAACAACACAACAGACAGTTTAAAATCAGGAAGGTCTTGCCCTCCAGGGTAATTTCTGGTTCAGGGCATTTGCTCTCCTACAAGCATGGTGTCTGTATCATGTGATCTACTCCTGGAATAAAAGGTGTATAAAAACAAAGGACTAATATTGATTTCAATAAGTGGGCCCACCTGCCCCAGATGGGAGAGCGATATCTGAATCCAGCTCACAAGATCTTTTGCTATAGTGGCAGGAAATGGTGCTATGTTACTTTTATAAATAGAGGACAGATCTTTAAATATAATTATACAAAGGCATTTGCAAGTGACAGATGAAGCTGTCAGGGAGCCAGTTATGGCTTCCTGATTCTGTTCTGAACTTGTGCTGAGTGTACTCTGGAGGCTGCTCTAAATTGTGTCAGCTGGTTATGTTTTCCAAGAAACCACATGCTAGCTGGGGATTGGCCAGCATATGTGCTTTGGCTATTATCCTGCCCACCTCCCTCACCCCTCTGTACTGAGAGCAATGGGAAGGAAGTGTAGAAGCCAGCCGTTACATGAGAATCTGAGACAGGGTGGATAAAAATCAATTATTTTTCTGAATTTTTAAATCAGATTATATATAGTAAGCTTTTCTTTTTAAAAGTAAACCTGTTTCAAATGAAATCTGAATTTAATACAAAATATGTTAAGGCCGAAGCTTATTACAATCTCTTAAAAACAATTACGGTAAATAAAAAATAAGTATGCTGAATTCATGAGCCTCTATTAAAAACTTTAAGTTAAAGGATACCTTTCTATGTAAAGAAAGAATGGGGTGGGGAGGGGGAATCTAACTTTTGAGGTTAAATTTGATAAATAGGGCACAATGGGTCATGTACTGTATTAAGAACTTGTTTTGTTTAATACAAATAAATATGCTATTTTGTGTCTTTAATTAAATTTCATCCTAATGCAGCTTGACATAAATCATGAGCAAAAAGTTAACCATCTAGTAAATAAGCAAGATTATTCACCATTTTCTAACATACTAAAAATGTGCAATTAAAAAGAATCTGAAAATATTAATTATATAATTATATTATTGCTTAAATAAATCTATATAGTTATAGTGTACCTATTAGGTAGTAAAAAATGTATCAAATCTAGTATAAAGGTTCTATTTAATTGTAAACCACCTTAGCTTAATGGTTATATCTACCAAGGAGAATGCATCTTTCTTTAGGAAAATAACTGAAATCAAAATGGAAAAGTTGATTACAATCAATTATTGAAAAGTGCAGCTCTCCACTTGGTAATTTAAATCATCCACCCTGATCTCAGAGTCTTCCTTTAAAGAAAAGAAAAAAAGAAAAGGTTTCTAGCCTTGGTGGTTGTGGAGAAATGCTTGAAAATGTGACCCCTAAAGATTCAAAACCAGAGGGCAAGCAAAAAGATTCCAAAGTTACTTTTGAAATTCTCATGATTTTTAAGCCAATCTCATGATTTTTAAGTATTTGGGGCTGGCAATACCAATTATACGTGCAAAGATGAAGTGTGAGCACGACTCAGTAACTGCCTAAATTTGAAGTGTTTTGATGCCCCTTTTCAGCAAATCCCACGGTTCTTTGGAAAATTCACTTCATTTTGTTGCCAAAAGTGGGTGCTGAGCATTTTTGAACCCGCGGTGTTTTTGGCCCGCGGTGTTTTTAGTCCACATGATTGAACCTTCTTTTAGTTTTCAAAACGCTCTAAAAATCTACATGCGGAGTGAGATTACCTCAAATGCTGGTATGCCACAACTGGAGTATGGGGTATTCTTACTGGTGCAAATTTGGAGTAATGTGGTCTAGGGGTTCCTCAGATAAAACTCTTCCCCCCCCCCCAAATAAGGAGTGGATTTGAATATTCAAGTTGCTCTAAAATCCACCTGCATAGTGCGATTATCTTGAAAATTGGTAAAAAGCAACAGAGAGTCCTGTTACAGAGTAGCAGCCGTGTTAGTCTGTATCCGCAGACTAACAGTCCTGTGGCACCTTTAAGACAACAGGGGCTAGGGCAGTCTTTGGGAAAGAAGGAAGGAGAACACCCACTGAGAGGAATGGGTCAGCTCACATCTCTCAGCTATCATGGCAGGCTGCATTCATCTCCATGGGGGTTCCAATTCATCTGGGAACATCCCATTGAGATGAATAGACTACTTCACACCACTGCAATCCTGCAATGCTGAAAAGGGCTATGCAGAGCCCTCTTTCTCCCACCACTAGTCCCTGAAGTGGAGTATGAAGTCCAGGACTCCCCTCCACTCCACCTTGCTGCCTCCAACCAGTAGATCATGCCTTCCTCTCAGCCCATGGGTTATCACCTTCCCTCCTCAAGACCAATCCAGCTCAGGGGAACATGTCGGGGCTAGGAGGAGGGCACAGCTGACAGCCAAATAGCAGTGAGATGCTCTCATGAAGCCTCCTTGTGCATCCCCACAGATGCCCCCCCCAATTATGCCCCCTCCCTCAAAAACCACCGAATTGAGATTAACAGCATGTCTTCCTTTAACTTCAAAGGGCAGACCTTCAGGTGGCCAAAAACACTTTTAGCCAGTTCCAAAATAATGGCTCACATTGCCTATAGGTCTGATCTGCACCATAGCTCCAGCCAGTTATGATTTTAAGACTGCTTACAGTCTGGGGGGTAAAGTTTCCTCAGTGCACACTGGACCAAAAAGCCAAAAATCTAGGCAGGCAAACATACAGGCAGACCATGGGGATAAGGCTCCAACATAATAAACAAGATGAATGGTCCTGGTTGGTGCATTGTAAGTTTCACCACTGTTGCTGCTATCTAACATGCTTTTTTACCTTCAAAAAGTATTGTTGGTTCTTTACATTTCCATGTCCTAACTTTTTCTTTTAAAGCATTTATAGCCCATCCCTCCTCATGCTGAGCTGCTTGCTGCTGGTTAATTTCACCTTTTCTGCTGCTGTATTTGTTTGCTTTTAATAAACAAAGCTCCATACCACCCCAATGAACTATCCTAGGCCAATTTCTTCTAACCACAACTCTCCTCCGCCATCCCCCATTTCCCTGAACCCCTAATATCCTTTAAACCACCTCCCTCTACACCCACTTCCTCCTTTCTGCTATAACCCATCTGCTCCCCCAAATTTCTCCAAACTTCCTTCCCTTTTCCCCGGAGCTCAGCTGGCTAGTAGGGGGTCTGGGGACCCTGCCCGACTTTTCTCCTTTCTTTCTGAGACGTGGCTCCTGTTTCAGTTCCCCCTTTGCAGCAGGCAGTTCCCAGAGGATTTGTAGGCCTCGCCCCCTGTCTGCCGGGGCTCTGCCCGCACCCCTCAGTCCAGACTCCCTCACTACTCACCGCTGCGCAGGCCCCCTTCCTGGGACCGCGCCACCGGGGTCCATGTGTGCGCGCGCTCCCAGCCCTGCGGGTTCCGAGCAGACTGACTGCGGGAAGGGAAGCGGAAGCTGTTCGCTATGAAATTGCCCCCCGCGCAGGACTTTGCAGTCCTCTCTATCAGCTGGAGGCTTTGCCAGCTCTATGGTTTTAATCCTTATCTGCCCAGACCGGAGCCGAACTAGTTTCTTTGTCTTTCCTCCCTGCTAATCTCTCACTAGCCCTCTCAGCGCAAACCCCACACGTGGCTCCCGGCTGAAGTCCTCCCTCCCCCACCCCCACAGCATCACTGTCTCCCGTACACCCCCAGGAGCTAGAGTGATCTGATAGCAAGTGTGAGAAATTGGGACAGGGATGGGGGGATAATAGGTACCTATATAAGAAAAAGTCCTGAATATAGGGACTGTCCCTATAAAATCGGGACATCTGGTCACCCTACCAGGAGCCCCAGAAACTGCAACAAGAGCTCAGCTTTAGCACGACCTGGTGCTGAGTAGGAGCAATGACTTCCTGGAAAAAGAAGAACAGGAGGACTTGTGGCACCTTAGAGACTAACAAATTTATTAGAGCATAAGTTTTCGTGGACTATGGCCCGTTTGAAGGGGGTTATAGTCCACGAAAGCTTATGCTCTAATAAATTTGTTAGTCTCTAAGGTGCCACAAGTCCTCCTGTTCTTCTTTTTGCGGATACAGACTAACACGGCTGCCTCTCTCACTTTCTCGAGACTCTATCTGCAT